AGCCCCGCATCGGGCTCCCTGCTCCGCGGGAAGCCTGCTTCTCCCTCTCCCTCTCCCCCTGCTTCTGTTCCTCTCTCGCTGTGTCTCTCTCTGTCAAATAAATAAATAAAATGTTTTAAAAAAAAACTTTTCCTAATATTAACCACATTGGCTTTTGCAATTAAAAAGGAAAAAAAAATCTAAATGTACAATGATAGACAATTACTTGGGTAAATTATGGAACATCCACTCACCGAAACAGTACATAGCAACTGAAAAGAATATACTACAACTGTCAGTATAAATAAGGAAAGATAACTGTATTCTCAAGAAGAAAAAAATACATCTGCAGGATAATATAAATTTTATGACCCCTATTATGGAAACAAATCATAAACATTTGCCTGTTTATTTGTGATTGGTTAAGTAAACATTTAGTTTGGATTATTTCAGGGTTTGTACTTATGGGTAGTGAATGTCAGAAGTTTTCACATTCTCAATTTTTGTAATTCTCCATTGTTTCTATATCTTTGTGTCATAATTCTGTATTACTTTAGTATTACAAAAATGTCAATTTTAGAAGTTTTAGAATATGATGTAGATGTTCATAACATTGTAAATATTTAAAAACTAGCCTCATATTTACTTACATATGTTTGAAAATTTGGGGAGAATATATTGTTAACAATGCTAGACTCTCAGGTACAATTATGGGTGATATAAGATTTCTTAAATGGTTTATATATGTTTTCTAATTTTTTTATATTTCTTCAAAATTTTTAGTAGGCTCCATGCCCAACATGGGGCTTGAACTCATGACCCTGAGATCAAAAGTTGCACGCTTTACCAACTGAGCCAGCCAGGTACCCCCTGTTTTCTAATTTCTATACATTAAGAATTTATTGTTTGTATAATTTTTTAATAGTAAGAGTATTTTATTCTCTTCAGGAATTAAATGGGCAACCCCATTCACTCGGGATGTCAAGCTCTGAAAAGTGAATTCGGCGTTTGGTCCAGATTGCTCAGGGCAGCCTGGGCAGTCTGGGCAGCCCATTCTGGGACCCTGCCTGATTGGTTTCAGGAATGAGCTGATCTGACCTTGCCATGGCAGGATGTGTAGATCCACAAAAGGATAAAAAGTGGAGGGGACCGGAGGGCCTGGTTGGTAGAACACTCATACCTGATTCTGTACTGTAGAGAGTTTCTACCCGGAATCCATCCTGTTATAGTGTGTGGTGGTAACAGGTGCACTAATCCAGGATTTAGGGCATAGATGTTAAAATTTAAATATAGATCACAAAAATCATTTTATAAATACAGGGTCTTGGGCCCAATACTAGAGGTTCTGGTTTAGGAGGTCTGGGGTTTGACTTAAGAATTCACATCTTTTACAAACTTCTCAGAGAATACTGAGGCAGGAAGCCCAGAGAAAACACTTGGAAACAGATCTGGAGTGTTCCCAGCTTATAAGTATTATGCTTGCTGGTTACCCTCAGTATACTTAGGTCTTAGTTCAAATTACATCTGCTCAGAACAGCCTTCCTTGAAAACCCATACTAAAATAGCTCCTCCAGGGCTGCCTGGGTGGCTCAGTTGGTTAAGCATCTGCCTTTGGCGCAGGTCATGATCCCAGGGTCCTGGGATCGAGTCCCATATCGGGCTCCTTGCTCAGCGGGGAGCCTGCTTCTCCCTCTGCCTGCTGCTCCCCCTACTTGTGCTTTCTCTCTGTCAGATAAATAAAAATCTTTAAAAACAAAATAGCTCCTCCATTACAACCTATGTACTTGGCTTCATATTTCTCCATAGCACTTAACTGACATTTCTATTATGTATTTATTTTACTCAGTCACCTTCACTAAACCGTATGCTCCATAAAGGCCATGACTTTGCCTGTTTTGTTCATTGATGTGTCCCCAGTGACTACAACGGTGCCTGACACAGTGTAAATGCTCAAAAAAAATATATTTTTTTTTAAAGATTTTATTTATTTATTTGAGACAGAGAGAATGAGAGAGAGAGAGCATGAGAGGGGGGAGGGTCAGAGGGAGAAGCAGGCTCCCTGCCGAGCAGGGAGCCCGATGCGGGACTCGATCCTGGGACTCCAGGATCATGACCTGAGCCGAAGGCAGTCGCTTAACCAACTGAGCCACCCAGGCGCCCAAAAAAAATATTTTTAAAGGAATGAATTACTCAACACTAAGTTGGGAATTGAATTCTGCCAGAACACTGTATGGCAAATTGGGGGGGGGGGGGCACAAGGATTTATAAACTGGATTGCATATCCTTTTTTTTTTAAGATTTTATTTGAGAGATAGCATGTATGCATGCACACATGTGAGTGGGGGGAGAGGCAGAAGGGGAGGGAGAGAATCTGGAGCAGACTCTGCACTGAGCACAGAGCCTGATGTGGGGCTTGATCCCACAACCGTGAGATCATGACCTGAGCCAAAACCAAGAGGCAGAGGCTTAACTGACTGAGCCACCCAGGCGTCCCACATATTCTTATATCAAGGGAAATAACTGGATAAAGAAGGACAAGAAAAAAAAAAAGTGGGAGAACAAGAGGAAAACTAAGATTTTTTTAAAGATTTATTTATTTGACAGAGAGAGTACAAGTAGGCAGAGTGGCAGGCAGAGGGAGAGGGAGAAGCAGGCTCCTCACTGAGCAAGGAGCCCGACGTGGGACTCGATCCCAGGACCCTGGGATCATGACCTGAGCCGAAGGCAGACGCTTAACTAACTGAGCCATCCAGGTGTCCGAAAACTAAGATTTTTTGCCAGCAGACCTGCTCAAAAAGAATTGATAAAGGAAGTTCTAACAAAAAGGAAATGACAGAAAGAAACATGAAACATCAGGAATGAAGAAAATGGAATGAAAAAGTAAATATATCATCAGATGTAATAAGCTATTCCCCTTTGAGTTTTTATAATTATGTTTGATGACTGAAAGCAAAAATGACAACTTTACCTGATACAGTTCTCAGTGTATGTAGAGGTTTGGGAAAGATCAGTTAAGATGACCATTATATGCTGCACACACCTGATGGGAAGTCTAGGATTAAATATGACTGTGCCAAGTGCTAGACAAGATACAACTGGAGATTCGATACACTGAAGGTGGGAATGTACATTAGTATGGCTACTATGGAAAAGTTTGGCAGTTTCTTATAAAGTTAAAAACACAAACTTAACATGGGTATTTATCCCAGAGAAATGAAAACTTATGTTCACACAAAACTGGATTCATAGCATCTTTATTCATAACAGTGAAACACTAGAAACAACCCAAAGTCCACCAACATTGAACAGATAAGCCATGATACGTTCATAACAAAAGAATACCACTCAGTAACAAAAAGTAAAACTATTTATATGCCCAACAAATTGGATGAATCTTAAGGGCAATTTGCTGCATGAAATAAAGCCTATCCCAAAGGTCACACTGTATCATTCCGTTTTAACAGCACCCTTGAAATGACAAAATCAGAGTGATGGAGTACTGGTCAGTGGTCGCCATGGGTCAGGGTTGTGGGGAGAGTGTGACTATAAAGGGGCAGCACATGGATGTTTCTTTGTGTTGGCACAACAATTCTGTATCCTGATTGTGGTGGGATTTACAGGAATCTATGTATGTGATTAAGTTTCTTAGAACTCTACACTAAAAAACAAAACAAAACATCACATAAATTAATGCATGCAAACACTAGTGAAAACCAAATAAGGTCTACAGTTTACTTAACAGCATTGTACCAATGTCATTTTATTGGTTTTGATTATGTATTATGGTTATGTAAGATAATGTCACTGAAAAAGCTGAGTACAAGTACTCAGGAACATTGTATACTTTATAATTTTTTGTGAATCTAAAATTATTTCAAAAAACTTAGAAAAAATCATATATAAGATTATTTTTGTAAACTACTTACAAACTTGAATAAATACACCCTAATATGTTAAATTACATTTAAAAATATATTCCTTTTTCTTTTGCCTGAAAGAGATGACTTTAGAACCCAAGAAATGCAAGAGGTAATCATATGATACAAGTTGGGTACAGAACACCCCTGCATTGTGTACATTAAAATTTAATCAGTGTTGAGAATAGCCTACTTTAAAACGATGGCATCACTGAGAATATGGTTCAAGGTATCCTGCCCCAAAATGGACATCAGATGTAGAAGTATAGACTTGTGATGAAAAACTCAGGTATGCATTGTTTTCATGAGGCTTCTTTCCTTCAAAAAAAATTTTTTTAAAGATTTTATTTGAGAGAGAGAGAGAGAGCATGAAGGGGGAAGGATCAGAGGGAGAAGCAGACTCCCCGCTGAACAGGGAGCCCGATGCAGGACTCGATCCTGGGACTCCAGGATCATGACCTGAGCCAAAGGCAGTCGCTTAACCAAATGAGCCACCCAGGCGCCCTCCTTCAAAATTTCTGATAATTTCCTAGTTACTCCACATTTAGTGTGTTCATGAGTTTTATGTCTGTATGAATTCATGAGAAATGATGAGGCAGAATATCACTAAAATTCATATTCACTGCCATTTTCCTTTAACGTGAATATCACACAACTATTAAGGTTTGACTTCCAGGCAAAGGCTTTTGCACAGTCATCATGTTGCCACTATGTGTAAGCTCGCTGGTGGGATCTATTATGATCACTGATGAGACAGGGTCTTTATTCCCATAGGAGGCTTTCCTACTCTCTCCATTCATAAGATTCGTCTTAATATATACTTTTCAGATATGTAATTACCTAGAAATGTTTCCTCAGGACTTTTCTGCATTGAATATATCAGTTTTGTTTCCTGTTTTGACATACAACGTGAGGTAATTGATCACTGAAGGCACTAGCACATTCTCTGCATTCACTAAACTTCACTCCTATGCAAATTCAGTATTCCCCAAGGGTGAAAATCTAGCAACAGGCTAATTAATCTATACTGACTATATTCAGGTATGCTGGGAGCACACTGATGTTTAAGGAGTTCATTGAAGTATCATGGTTTGTCCCCTGAATGAGTTCACTTGTATGTAATGAGTTCAGATTCTCTGCAAAGGCTTATGTACCTTGACTTACACATTTCTTGTGTGTATTAACAAGGCTTGACAAATGAGAGAAAGGCGGCCCGCAGTTATTAAATCCATAGTCTTTCTATTCTATGAATTCTTTGATGTACAATGGGTGCTGACCTGGTATTGAAGGCTTTCTCCCATTAACTGTATACATAGTTTGCTGCATAATTCCCTGGTAGGTAATGAATGGGATTTTCCACAGTCAGTACAAATAAAGGAAGTCAATTCTGTGTGAAATCTCTGATGTTGCACAAGGCATATTTTCCTCCTGAGGGTATGACCCTATTCATGGTGTCATTGAGGTTTGTTTCCATTATGAGTTCTCTGATGTACAATAAGATTTCTCTTTGAGGAGAAGCCTTTTCCACATTCACTGCATATAAAAGGTTTCTCTCCTGTATGAGTTCGCTGATGAACGATTAGTCGGCTTTTCACAGTGAAGCCTTTACCACATTCATTGCATGCATAAGGTTTCTCTCCAGTATGAATTTGCTGATGTAAAATGAGCTCAGTTTCCATAGCAAAGCCTTTACCACATTCGCTGCATATGTATGATTTCTCTCCTGTATGGATTTGTTGATGTACAATGAGATAGCGTTTCATGGTGAAGCCTTTTCCACATTCACTGCACGTAAAGGGTTTCTCTCCAGTATGAGTTCGCTGATGTACCACAAGATTGCTCTTAAAGGCAAAACCTTTTCCACATTTATTGCATATATAGGGTTTCTCTCCAGTGTGAGTTCGCTGATGTAACATCAGTCCACTATTCACAATGAAACCTTTCCCACATTCACTGCATCTGTAAGGTTTCTCTCCAGTATGTGTTCGTTGATGTACGACCAGTCGACTCTTCAAGGGGAAGCCTTTCCCACATTCACTGCAGATGTAGGGTTTCTCTCCAGTATGAGTTCGTTGGTGTATGATGAGCATGCTCTTCACGGTGAAACCTTTTCCACATTCACTGCATACATAGGATTTCTCTACTGTATGATTTCTCTGATGTACAATGAGATTACTCTTCCTGGGAAAGCCTTTTCCACATTCATCGCATACATAGGGTTTCTCACCTGTGTGAGTTCGCTGATGTTCAATCAGTCGACTCTTCATCGTGAAACCTTTCCCACATTCATTGCATATATAGGGTTTCTCTCCTGTGTGATTTCGTTGATGTATGATGACATAGTGCTTCGTGGTGAAGCCTTTCCCACATTCACTGCAGATGTAGGGCTTCTCTCCTGTATGAGTTCGCTGGTGTATGGTGAGCATGCTCTTCCCAGTGAAGCCCTTTCCACATTCACTGCATACATAGCATTTCTCTCCAGTATGATTTCGCTGATGTACAATGAGATTACGCTTCCCTGGGAAACCTTTCCCACATTCGTTACATACATAGGGTTTCTCTCCAGTGTGAGTTCGCTGGTGTTCAATTAGACGGCTCTTCATGGTGAAGACTTTTCCACAATCATTGCATAGAAAGGATTTCTCTCTTTTATGAATTCTCTGATGTTCATTGAGCCTGGACTTTCTGGAGAATACTTTCGTACAAATATTGCATCCATAAGGTTTCTCTCCTGTATGAACTCTGTGATGATCTGTGAGCTGGGACTTCTTAATGAAGGCTTTTCCACATTCACTGCATACATGGGGTTTCTCTATTTCACGAGTTCTCTGATGCTTAATGACTTGGGACTTATTGCTAATAGGTTTTGCACTTATAGGGAGTTTAACAGCAGAATTAAAATCTTCATGCTTATCGTGCAGAAATAATTTCTCATCTCTACTGAATTTAGTAGAGTTTTTAATTTCATAGCTTTTGCTCTGGTTGACTAAACTTAAATTTGACTTCAAAGTTTTTATATAGAACTCAAGCATATGATTTTGCCTGGAAGGAAAATGACTTTTGCTTTGAGGAACAGTATTTCCAAATGCATTGTGTTTGTGGTTTTGTTCCATACCTTTCAGCATTCTTGGATTTTCCCAGTGACCTTGCAGGTGATTATCAACTTTGCTAGGTTCTAGAAAAGAGAACAATGAATCCTTTCATAATCCATAATCTTGTTTTGAATAAAACTTTAAAAAATTCTTTAGTGTTCCTTAAAAAATGGCATTTTAGTGACAACCCTATAACAGTATAAAAGAAATGCTATATATAAATGTTCCTTATCTCTTATACATTGGTAAAAACACAGTAATATAAACAAACCAAAATGAAAAAGCAGTAAGTATAAATAAGGTTACACAGTTGACAATGTATGTAGATTTGCTGCTCTCTAACTAGGAACTCACAAAACATGCAGGAATAGTAAAACACAAGCAAGTCATTGTTGGCAGCAAACGACAGGGTTGGAGGAACACCATTCCACAGAACTTGGAAAGGCACCAGATCATAAAGGTGGAAGAGACTACTATCCAGAACTATGAGGGTTGCATTTGTTCACTCCAAACTGTTTACTGAATGGCTCCTGTGTACAAGGCACTGTGCTGGTGTTTGGAATATATAAAATAGGCCTCACTTTCACTGATCGTAAACCTAGTTAGGGGAAACCAAATGACAAAGAAAAGAAAAAAGAAGGGAGTTGGATATTGTGAAATGTGATTGAAGGAGCAATGGAGACTGGAAAGTGGAGGGAATCAGGATATATCTGTATAAAGAAAAGACAGTTAAATGATGAGTTCAATGGAGAGTGGTTAATGACAGTGAGGAATCAAGGATTTCCCTCTAACTATATGGCTTGAGCCACTGGGTAGGCGTGTCAAATGGAAATGAGGAATATTACTGAAATCCAGAATGTGTAGGAAAAAGTCTGTGTTGCAGAACATAAACTCTGAGAGGATTATTAGATACTGTAGTACAGACATCCAGGTCTGGTTGGAGATAGCAATGTTGAAATAATATATACTTGTTACCAAGAAAAGAAGACTGGGTGTAATGTTGGGAGGACACGGAGAATGAAAGATGGTGAAGGTACAGAAGAAGGTTTTAGACATTTCAGCATTTAGGCTGGGGATTCTTTAAGTTCACTTTAGAGAACCCAAAATCTGACTAGAGACATTGCGGAACTATGCAAACTGAGGTGTCTAGAATAAATGCGTTTGTTACCAAGTAAGAAAGTAAGGTCTTCAGAATTTAAAGTGAGCTGAGACAGACTCTTGCATAGTAATCCTGTTCCTAAATTTGCCTTTCTGTAGACCACCATTAAACTAACTTTCCACAAACATCAATCAGATTTAGTGGACAACACTCCAACCTTAGTCCAGCCATGTCATTTTATCGTCCATTCCATTCATACTGAATAGGCTGACCATGATTGGTAGGAAATTTTGCAGCTGGCCATTATACCACGTAGCCATCTTCAGAAGCTAATATGCTCCCGCACAGGACATAGAAACTGTCATGTTGATCACATTGTGCATTCAGTAGAGAAATCATACCCAAGCTTTTCCCATTTCAGCATCCCTGATGCACTGTTCCCTCACTTGCTACCAGCAGCATCTATTTCAGTAGTTCTACCTTTGTGTCTTGGTTGTACTAAAGGACCAACTTCCTCCTCTACGACCAAGGTGTGTCAGCTTTACCTTCTGTTTTTCTTAGAACATCTAGCTGTTCCTTATTGTTACTCTACTATCACTGTCCAAGTGAAAGGTCATACAACCTAGAGCTACAAAAAATACAAAACCAAGCACAACCCTCCACCATGCTACCTCAATTACTCGCATATCAAATCCAGTCATCCTGGCAATAAAAGTGCACATCATCATGAATACTCCCATTTATCCATGTGTCCACTCCAGTGCTTCTCTTGTAGACACCTTCTAATACTGCCTTCATCCAGCCAACTCCAAGCCATTCTGAACAGTCAACACCATGTCTTGCAGTTTCCTATTTCATGCCTTCATTCCTAATTCATGGTGGCATCTTCCTAATTCAAAATGCAGATGTCCTTTGTATATATCATGCTGTCATTCAATTCTGATTGTACAACTATAAGCTCTATTTCCTCTTTATTTCTAAGTAAATCCCTTTATTGTTCATTTTCATAGTTACCTTCAGTTAAGATTTAACTTCACCCAAAGAGAGGTCTGGCCCTTGCCACTGGCTCTATTGGAAGTGATCTCTAGGCCCTCAGAATGTCCTACCTGATAGGAGTGCCTCTGTTTGCCTGGGGGCTTTGGCCACTGGATATTCTAACAATGTGATTTATGAAGGAGACTTTGGGCCATGCCATATCAGTTCCAACCTCCAGACCCTCAGAGGAACTGGAGACTATAGGAATTAGCCTGATTTCTGGTGGGGCTAAAAACTAAAGTTCAGCCATGTGGGCAATGTGTGATTGAGCCCCAGTAAAAACACTGGACACCAAAGGCTCAAGTGAGCTCCCCTGGTTGGCAATACTCTTTGCATATTGTCACACACCATGGCTGGGAGGAGGTAATGCTGGCCATGAGTCTGGAAGCATCATGTCTGGACCCTTCCTGGGGGTCCAATATGACCCAAGAATTCCACTCCTTGGTATATACCTAAGAAAAATGAATGTTCATAGCATAATTCATAAAAGCCAAAAAGTGGAAAAACCCAATGTCCATCAGCAGATGAATGAATAAATAAAATGTGGTATATCCATACAGTGGGAGTATTATTTGGCAATAAAAAGGAATGAAGTACTGATGCATGTTAAAGCATGGAAGAACTTCAGGAACTTTAGGCTAAATGCAAGAAGCCAGACACTAAAGACCAAATATTTCATGATTATATAAAATATCCAGAACAGTCAAATTTCTAGAGGTAGAAAGTAGATCAGTGGCTGCCCAGAGCTGGGGGCCTGGGAAGAAACGTTTCTTTTTATTTTTTACTTTATTTTATTTTTTAAAAGATTTTATTTTTAAGTAATTTCTACAACCCCCAGATCAAGAGTCACATGCTGTACTGAATAAGCCAGCCAGGCACCCTGGAAATGTTTCTTTATTTAAAGTGATGAAAATCTTCCAAAATTGCTTATGGGGATGGTTACATAACCCTGTCAATGTACTACAAAGCACGAAATTGTATGTGTTAAGTTGGCAAATTATGGGTTATGTGAATTATCTCAAAGCCGCTTTTAAAAAATGGGGAAAATAAATGATTTCGACAAATGAATACAATGGGAAGACCTCGGATGAACCAAAGGAAAATCAGAAATATCAACCGTACAAAGGAAGCCATCAAGGCAGGCATAAGCTGATTTTGGCTAGAACTGATGGAGGATGTAAAACCATCTTTTCTAGTGAAACAGTCAACAGAAACAGCGGAGACCTTTAAGACAAGAATGCCATAGCTAACAGCAGTGTGGACGGGGTACGGTGTGCAGTACTAAAGGAGAATCTAACGTTCAAATGAGACGGAAGGGGATTTTTTGTGGAGGGAAGAGGATTCCTGTTCCTCATGCAGGGACTCAGAAATCTTAGGCAGGTAAAATATCTACAACACTATACAGTAGGAAGGGAGATACCAATTTGGAGTCTCTTCTAGACAACAGAAAGAGCTTAATTCATGAGCCAGAAGAAAAACCTCAAGTATTAGGAATTCAGCAGAGAAAATGGAAAAGAACTGAAGAATCTCGAGTGGAGGGAAAAGCTAGAAAGCAGATTAATACCCCGTAAGAGACCAGGTTATTGTGATGGCACGACATACAGGGTGGAGTTGGCTGTCAGGAGGGAAATTGGCATTTCCCAAGGAGCCGGGCGGGAAGGTACAGTAGTCAGAAACAGTGTGAATTCACACGTCTCTCTTTAGAGTAAGGCCCGGGGGATGTGGGGTGTGGATTTCATAGCCAGGGAGGCAGAAGGAACAGGGACACACACTGTGACAAGGTACAAAGAAGGGGTAAGCTAACAGAATCCGTGGAAGAAAACTAGGCAAACCAACAAAAATCAAGATGTAAAATGAAAAAAGCAAGGATCAGACATCAGAAGAGAAAAAAGAGTTCCACTTCCCTCTAAAGACCTAAAGGAAAAGTTCTGCTACGGGAGAGAGATACACAGAGCACAGCTTCTGTTCTCAAACACCCTGCTAGCCTTCTCTCGCTGACCGAGGGTGACTTCCACAGTTACCCGGCTGGCAGGTTCTCACTCACCTGGCCGGGTTCCACTGGGGACTTCCTCCTGTTTCGCCCACGGTTCCTCCCCTCGTTCCAGCTTGGAGAGTGCATCTGGTTTGCTGGCTTGATACCCTACTCGTGGGAAAGACAGAACACTTAGACTCACCAAATCGGGCTGGGGTCTGTCAAGATGGGAGAATGCTACATTTGAGGGACTGAGACAGTTTTCACATCTGCAAAGCTGAGGCTTCTCTCTCAGGAGAGGGCATATGTGATACCATGATATAATGATATATATTTGGTCTTTGTACCCCATTCCTGGCACAGAGCTCCTAAGGCCCTTATAATTTCCTAAGTGACAGCCATGATAGGAGCATCTTCCGTTAGAGTATTTGGTCTAAGTTCCAGTTCCTGACACAAGAACTTCTAACACCCCTGAACTCTCTAGAGTGATGAGTCTTTTTGTGAACTAATGACTGGTGGGAGGGGCCCCTATAGAGTTTTAGCATGGGGGCCGGTTGCCAGAAAGACCCTGGTGGGATGAGAAGGTTGGAACCTTCAGCTCCAATCCCCTGCCCCTGCCACTGGAGACTTGAGTTAATCATGATTTAAGCAATCATGCCTACATAATGAAACCTCCATAAAAAGTCCTAAACCACCAGGCTGGGAGTTTCCAGGTAGGTGAACACACCTGAAGGGCTGGGAGGGTGGCATACCTAGAGAGGTCATGGGAAGTCCACACCCCTCCCTCCATACCATGCCTTATACATCTCTTCCTTTTTTTGGCTGTTCCCGAGTTTTATCCTTTATAATAAAATGGTAATCTTAAGTAAAGTGCTTTCCGCAGCTCTGTGAGCTGTTTCCAGCAACTTGCCGACCTGAAGGGGGTTGTGGGAATGCCCACTTTACAGATGGACTGGAGCGTGGGTACCCTGGGTAGTGGGGACCAATACTGGCAATTGGCATCTGAAGTGAGGGGAGTCCTGTGGAACTAAGCCCTTAAACCTGTGGAGTGTGCTGCTAACTCTGGGTCGTGGCAGAACTGAAATGAACGGCAGGACACCTAGCTGGTACTGGAGAGTTGGAGAACTGGTTGTTGGTGTAGAAAAACCCCCCATGTTTGGCACCATTTGTGTTGGTGGTAAGAGCAGCTCGTAGTAAATCAGACCCTTTTATCATGTGCCCAAGGAGGCACTGAGAATCTGCCATACAGAGCAATGCAGTGACTCCGAAGTGCAAGCAGCGGAGAAAGGAAAGGCCACTGACTGGGCACCCTCTGAGTGACACAGGGGAGCCGTCCTCACCCACTGACACCAGGTTGCTATAGTTCTCCAACATCACGTCCCGGTACAGGTCCTTCTGGGCGGGGGCCAGGAGCTGCCACTCCTCCCAGGTGAAGTCCACGGCCACGTCCTCCAGTGTCAGCGATTCCTGTAACAACACGGTCCTGTGTCATGTGAGTGTTTCTCTTTCATTGATTCATAAGGAATATAAAGGAAGTTGTTCTGCTAATAGTAACTACAATGCTGAGACCAATTCTGATGTATGTGTGGTGGTTTGGATGTTTTTAAGCAATTCTCTGACACCAGCTGGGTGGCCTACAATTCGACTCAATTCTGACACAGGCTACCTGGAAATAGTGTCACACTTCACGGATTAAGGGGTCAGTCCCACAAGACCGCCCCTGCCCCCACTTCAGATACCAATCCAAGTCCACGGTGTCGCCTGCGCTTCTGACTAACCGGCTATAGATTGGAGGTTCCAATTACCCCCGCCTGGGGTTTAATTTGCTTGAACGGCTCAGAGAACTTGGTTTACTTACTGCATACTATTTTATTATAAGAGGATATGATCAGGAACACAGATCTCATCCAGATCAAAGGGACACACAGGGCGAGGCACGAGGGGAGGGGCATGTCATGCAGCACCCATGTCCACCACACGGGGGGCGCTCCAAACCACACACCTTCGGAATTTTATGGAGGCTACATCACACAGCCCCTCTCCCCTCTCTGGATAATGGGGGTACAGCTGAAAATCCCACACTTCTGATCACGGGTTGGTCTTTCTGGTGACCAACGCCCCCCCAGGAACCACCCAGAGTCATGCCATTAGAACAGGAGATGCTGGGGCGCCTGGGTGGCTCAGTC